TGCCATTATCTAAACCACAGAAAAATAGCCCACATTTCAGAGGCTGAAAATGGGACAAATTAAATGTTGGTCAGCACAGCATGCTATGAATCTCCCTCCCCCGATTCTCCCACTTCTGCTTTGGGCCTGGCAGTGGCAATTCAGGCAAATCCTTATTGCTTTCGGAGTAAAGCAAGCCAGGTGTGAGAAGTTTTGCTCATAGGCCTACGGTCTTCTATGCCCCCGGCCTCTGAATTATTAATGGGGGAAAGGAGAGAACAAATAATGAAGAGAGGACTCTTGGCAGACGCTGCTGGAAGCACACGGGGTTCCAGAACACTGAACCTCTCCAGTTCGCCTGCCAGGAGCCACCTGACACCTGCTGCTTCCTCTAGCTTCCCTCCTCCGATTTTGATCTTACCCAGCATCTGGCTGGGCGGTGGCCCGTGACGGAAGATGGAGACCTTCTCTTTATTCCATTAAACTTGGGATCTGGTTATGACAACATGCCTCATCTATTTTTATCTACAAATGACCCTAGCCCTGGCTAACCGTTCCCTGCAGGATGTAGGCTTGTGTTGGGAAGAAAGAGAGGACACAGTCAAGATTTTCTTCATCTCAGGAAGTGTGCTGGGCCTTTGTGATCTCCTGGGGTCCGGAGACCCCGTGCCAGCTGTCACTCAGAGACTCAGCCCGCACAGCGTCTCAAAGGAGACACAGCATTTCTGCACTCAGACTGGGCTTTCTAGACTCTACGGTTAAATGGGCGAAGAACTACTGGCTTAGCATCTACGACGAAGTTCAGGAATGGGCTGAGCCGGTGGAAGCGGCCCCTGAGAACACCCAAAGCAGAACGGGGAGACTTGGGGAGCAGACCTAGGCCCCATCATTCCAGCTCCGAGTCCTTGAGTTTTCTGGCCCGGGCATGGTGTGCTCTGGTGAGCAGCTTTCCTCCTCCACTTTCGGAAAGAGGTTCCTAATTTAAGCAGCTGAGTCTAAGTTCTTGTTTGTTTGTTTAAAGATTTTGTTTATTTATGCACAGAACTGTGGTACAGGCCAAAGGTGCAGGGGTGGTGAGAGGACTCACCAGAGACAAAGTGGGGAGCAGAACAGGCAGATCGACAAAGTACACGGCTGAGGGGAGCAGCGGGCGGGTCAGGAGAGGTCTGCCGCGCCCTGTGGGTCAGCTCCCTGGCCGGGGATCGAACTTGCACGAAAGTGGCCACAGCTAGCTTTAGCTGCACAGTGCAGTGCTCCAACCTGCTGCGACACCAGGGCGGGCCTGAGTCTAAGTTCCGAGGGGTTTTAAACAGGCATTTTCTGATGGATTCTCCAGCAATGCCTGGGATTTGCTTCACAATAATCGGGGGAGGAGACTAGAGGGTGACAGCACATTCTCCACTTTGGTATGTGGTTGAAATTTTCCATTGCAACAGATTTTTGAAAGGGAGGTGGAGAGCCAATGATCCAGAAACTTCCTAGTTACTCGTTTGGACCTTTGCCTTCACCTCGACCTCTTCTTAAAAATTGCTAACAAGAAAGGCCGCCTGACGCCAGTTCCTCTCTACACGTCTGCCTGTCTCAGTGTCACACTGCAGACTGACGTGCCAGTGGACAGCCGAGGCCAAGGAGGTCTGGGTGAGGAGGGCGGGGCAGTCCCAGCCTGTGGGGCCCGGGGGAGCGATACACACCATGTCGGTGAGGGGCGGGAGACCAGCACCCCACGTCTCGTCAGTAAGAAGTACGAGAATGCCCATGCAGAGTGCCCCTCCGGCTGCTACGCTCTTCCTCCGTTCCTGCCTTTGCAAGGAGTCCAGGTCTAGCAGAGACATGGGCAGGATCCGCCCTCGGGCCTCAGCAGGCGCAGGCGCAGACCTGGGGGCGCCAGGTTGCAGAGCCAACGTGGGACAGGTCGCCTGTGGGGCGCTTCCTCTCAACGCCGCGCTGGGGCTTCACCCCCACTATCTTAGCTGTACCCACCAACTCTCAAACCCGCAGACGCTGGGCTTGATTCCAATCCTGAGCCTTTGTTCTGGGCATTTTCTCCTAGGAAAGCTGATCACTAACCAACACCCCCCTCGATGGGAGAATTCTAGACATAGGGAAATTGGGAGGCCTGGCGTAAACCTTTTTGAAACGTATCACCAACCTCAAAACGTAACCTAGAAGCTGACCTCGTGGAGATGAAATAAGAGTTCCTTTTCAAAGAGGAATCAAAAGAGAAGAGAGCGCTGGCATTTTTCCCCATCCCTGCTCTCAGTTAACTCAGGCCAAAGAGGATTTCTTGGCACGAAGCAGCCTGATTCTGTTCCTCTTAAGTAATGAGGTGCGAAGGTAAAAAAGATCTATTTGAGGAGAAGCTAATCGAGCAAGTTGCCTGCTCAAAAGAAAAATGAAAAAGGCCAGGATTTTGCAGAAGCACAAGCTAACACGGACTTCTGAACACGGCCAGTCCCTGAAAGGATCTCTGCCTTTGCTTGAGCAAGAGGTCTGATTTGAGTTTCTTCTCACTCATAATCTCCCAGCAAGAGGAAAATGGAAGAATTGCTTCATTTTTGCCAAATGGCTAAAAAAAAAGCAAATTCTCTTCTATCCTGTAATTACACTCAGAGCTCCAGCTAAGGCTATTTAGACAACTAGGTACACTTTCTTGCTTGGGGCTTGTTCAAGCCTCACCCCTCTTCCCAGGGAACACCTGGAAAGCAGAGCATGGCCTGATTGGCCAGGAGACCTTCAGTGATATCAGTGGCATCACGTCATCTAAAGCAGGACACCTCCAGGGAGAGGCTTCCAGGCCCGCCCAGGTCCCCTTTACTGGGCCAGGGCTCTGGGCCGAGTGCCTGTGGCGATTAGTTGCCTGCAGTGTGTGGGGAAGGCCCTGGCTACGGGACACCCTCACCTGCAAGGCTAGAAACCCCCACGTGCAGGCAGGAGCCCTAAAGCAGTAAGTCCTGAGGTCCCTGGTCTCCAGGCAGGACTTACTCCCTGGCACATTCACATCCAGAGTCCTCTATGGGATGGAGCAGACGCCGGTCTCCAGCTAAAATCACCTTGTTGGTCAGCTCCCTTCCACCCTTCTCTTGCCCCATCACCTCCCTGCACTTTCCCTCAATAAAGCCCTCCACAAGTGCCACACCTCAGGCTCTGCTTCCCAGAAGCCGGTCGTACGTCTGTAAGATACACCGGAGCAAATTTAGGCAAACGTAGTCTTACTACGTTTCACCTGTTGTCTTTCAATATCAAGCATCTGGCCAGTTTCTTGTGTTGAGACCCAAGAAACTGACAATTGAGAACTCAATTGTCTCAGGCTTACATGCACAAGTGGGCTGGCGAACGTGCCTGAATCAGACACCCCAGGATTCCCAGGACAGGGCTCTTGAAGGCATCCATTCTCTCCTGCAGATTTTGAGCTAAGAGTAATAAAATTCCTGAGGCTGAGGAGAAGCTTCCGTCCCGGCTTAGCTGCTCTCTAACAGAAGAGGTGGGCATCTCCTAAGCATCTGTCCCTTCCCCATCCCGAGCAACACTGCTCCCCCTTCTGTACCCCAGAAGAGAGTGGTGTGGGAGTCTCACCCAGCTGGGCGTTTATCAGTGAGCATGACTTGTCTTTACTCTTGGAGTGGGGGTGAGGTAACTAACGCCTCTTGTCTGTCACAGGAAGTCCACCCCCCTCTTTGAGGCCGCCCCAGCCCCTAAATGCAGAGATAGCACTGGTCAGCTCTGTAATTCTCCATAACTTACAGAATTGGCCACCTGCACGTCATTAAGCGTTGACCTTTCCCCTGCTAAGCTGTCTGAAGTTAATGTGTCTGTCTGTCCAGCCTTAGAAGAAGCCAGATAGGGTTGGGGAATTTCCGTCTTGCGCCCCCACTGGAATCTCTGGTAGCTCATGCTTCTTATGTAGGCATCTGACTTCACAGACAAATAGGCTTTCCATCCCCAGCCCCATTCCCAATCCAACAGGCAATCAAGATGGCGAGCCCACTTCCGTTTGCATCGTCACTCCCGGAGACGGCCTTTCTGCCCTGTTCCAGCGAGCTTCTTTTCCTAACACTGTACAATGCAGTGGGAAGCAAGCTGGCCCTGTTTTAATTACTGCTTGATATCTGATATTCCTGACATCCAATTCACAGAACTAAATATAAAAACCAACTTGGGTGAAAGCTTAGAGGAGCGCTGTCCACATGGTGCTCCAAGGCAGAGTTGCCCCCAGAAGGAAACCACCATTTGTCTTTGTTGCAAGAATTAAAATCTCAGAACCGATCAGGGAGAGTTGGAGTTTGCCAAGGAAAGCAAAGCTCTTGATGTAAAACCTCCTCGTAGCGCAAAGCTGAGTCTTCCACCCCCATTGTCCACCCTGCAAAACCCGAGGTGGCGTCCGCTCTCGCTGGCGCTTCCCGACAGCACCTGGAGCCTGGGTGGCCTTCGCGGGCCTAGATGAGAGGCCGCACTGGCTGGCCCTCCCTGCTCGGACAGACAGCTGGCAACCCACCCCGGCTGGCCTCCCCAACCCGCCTCACCGACCGTGGTTAGTGATACCCTGTGGTTTCTTGACAGCATTATCTTGCTTCTGCTTTTTAGATGTTGGTCCTAATGACACTGTGAGGTCAGGAGTTGGGGTGTCCTTGGTGACAGAGCATTAGCCCACAGGGGCAACATTCTAAGGGCATGCATGAGACACATACCCGGCTCCCTTCTCAGTGGGGCTGTCGTTTAAACTTTCTAGCAGGGAAATTTCTGCAGAAAGGTAATAATAATAATAATACCTATTGTGAAATTACTGCAAGGAACAGAACACAAGAACGAGTAACAACAACCCAGCTACGCGAAGCCTGTCAGAGTTAATACCCATGACGTCGCCGCCCGCGGCGCTGTGCTTCCGTGTTGTTTCAAACGATCAAAAGTTCGAATACAAAATGGCGGCAAAGGGGCCGCCATTTGAACCCAATGGGAGGAATCGGCTTGGGGAGCACTGTGCCCACACCGGGGTGCTGTGAGGGGACGGCCAAAAGGTGACCCACCTGGTGGTTGTCCGGATGGTGTTTTCTTTTGTGTGATTGTGCTCTTTGCTCACTTTTTCTGTGGGAGAAAGAATGAAACAGCTCTTAGGTAGGGCTCACTCAATCGGAGATGTTTTTAAAGCTGGAGCAGAAATACCCTCAACATTTCTCTTTTCCTTCGGCGGTTTTCTTTTGGCTTCTTTGTTAAACCATCAGACCAATCCCTTTTCCTACTGGTAAAGATCATCTGCAGCCTGTAACAGCACCCACAAAAATACTTTAGTCAAAGCCAGTCAAAGGGAAATAGCTACTCACACATTGCAAGTGATTCACTGTGATCAGGCCTTGGTGATGTGAATGTACCCTAAAATTTTCTGGGGTTCCCTCCCCTCCCTGGTCGAGCGGGCCAGACAGCAAAGCCACTTGTAGAGACTCAGAACAGTTTCCACCCTGAAGCCTACATAGGAATCCACTGCCTGGAGGTAAAGCAGCCTCCAACCCACACTAATGACCAAGTTGCTGAATAAAGATTTAACAGTGGGCTCCAGCCCTGGCATCTCTAAGGTGCATCCTTGAAAAAGGAAGCCACGAAGGCTGCCCTGCCTTCCTGGAGCGTCAGCATGTCTTTCGGTTGGGACAACTTAGAATTACCCGCTCCTCCAGTCAAGACTAATTACACTCTTAATGTTAATGACTCACTGCTCCTACCTATATAAACTAAACCCAAACTCCTGTTTGTTCAAACAGTTCTCAGAGTAAAATCTGTGGGACCGTGTCCTGGGTTCATATCTTCCCGAAAACGCTCTTTGTCCATCAGTGAGAGTTTGTTCCCAGGGACCAGGCCGCACGTGCAGACGCACCCAGCTAAGACACAAAGACAACTATTTCCACTCTATCTTTGCCCAGCTGAGAATTCCTGCTTCCCTCTGATTCAGCATGAAAACTGCCGTTGTTGCAAGTGTTCCGCTTCTGACTTTGATGACAACCTTTAAGCTTTCAGTATTGTCAGGCCTCTTTGTGAGACGGGATATAAAACAGCTGGGACCTCTGGGTGCCATCGTCATCGAGCGCTTATTCCGATAAATGTCACAAGGGACAAAAAAAATATCACGAGACAAGAAGAGGTAAACCCTCCCTCACTCTGGAGGTCTGTCTCTACCAGCTGCCAGGAATTATTTAATTAGTTCTCAAGAATACAAAAGTCGCACTTGGACCTCCCCAGTCCAGTTCAAATGTGAAGCCTGACCCTGCCTGGCACAGCGCTCAATGGCTTCTTTTGAGTGCAGGGGAAAATCCGGCCAACTCGAAAGGTTTCAGATTTCAACGGCAGGCCTGATAAAGCAAAACAAAACAAAAAACTCCTAATTTGGGGGATTTCTGGAAACAGTTAAAGATGCACACCCCCATTCTATACTTGCTAACATTAGCCCCCCCCCGCACGTACATTTTTGGGGCAATTCCTTCCTGTCCGCTGGACAGGGACAATGAAGCCGAGTTTGAATTCACAGGCGGTATTCGTTCAGAGAGCAAGAACTCGGGGCTAAAAGACTTGCTTGAGGTCATCCCGCAGTCAATGGCGGCTCCAGGGTGAGAGGCCCCAGACGCAGAGTATCTAGCTGATAGCGGACCACAGTAACGGACAGTGTGCTGTCAGTGACAGAGGCTTCTGCAAGGAACCACATGGCCCCACTCTTGCAAATCTGAACTGCTAAATATCTTTAAACGTGTATTGTTTTTCGATAGGCTTTCAATCTGTGGCCGGGGGAAGCATCTGGTATGTTGTGGAGCTTGCAAAGATCTATGTAACCTATTCAATTTACTGAATTAACTATTTTGCTCCTTTCAAACACAGCCCTTGTTTGGGAACCCAGAAGCAGACATTTTCCGTACCAAGGGATCGTTTCCCCACTGTGGCTAAATCGCCGGGGTCCTTCAGAAGTGACCGTCTTGCAGGGAGTCGGGGTGGGGAGGGCAAACTAGTGAATACTTACATATAAAGGCATGTAAACATCATTTGTTATCCATGCCAAACAGAGCTAATCAAATACTCGTCACAAACTTGACTGACGAATGAACTTCACTATGTAGGTCAAAGTTGGGGTACAGATGAGACCTGTGCATTTCTCTACAAATCTCACACACATGTATCTCCTCCATCTCAACTGTGGTCAAACAGCAACAGCATTTTGGTATGCTGAGATGAATAGTCCTTAGGGCTGAGGCACTTCTGGGGAACATGTAGATTCTAGGATAGAACTTGATCCATCACGACCCTTCACTGAGCTGTGAGCACACCCTTTTGAACACCAAGTATTCAGAGTGGCAAAAGCTGGTTTACAGAAAATGTTCTGTGAGTTTAGAGGTGGAAAGAATCCTCACACTTTTGCTTTTCCCTTTGCAAGATTTTCCCCCAAATATGGTAAAATCCCATTAATTCAAACCATGCAAATTTGGAACTCACCATAATCCAGTCACCGTTGGGAGTAAATTGAAGTTTGTCTTTTTGCACATTGGAAAAAAAAGGGGGTGGGGGCTGTTAATCAGATCAAATAGCTCAAAAGACAAAAAACAAAGGTGAGATGTTCAGCCCAGTGAACAGGAATCATTTGCACAGAACTGAATAGAGTTCTAATTTCCAATGATTCTTAATGGTTTATTAAAGAAAGTCTGGCAGGAGTTCCACTTGGCAACATCAGATTAACTGTTAGTTTGAAGTGTCAGTCTGCATGTTAAAGTAACAACTAGATTCCTGCCTACGAAAATGCTATAAAGTGGTGTTTTCACTGCACTGGAGTGACGCTCTTGCCAAGCCTCCCACATTGCTGACTTTGCCTCACAGAGCCGTACCTGACAGTTGAAAGAGGAGCTCAGAAGCCATCTTCACAGAGATGTCCTGACTGAAGAGGTTCCTCTCTGGGGGCACTCTGCCCTCTGGCATCTTCTGCAGGGGTTCGGTTTTCTCTCTCCCGATTAAAGTGCTGTAGCCCACATTCCGGTTGGGTGACAGGGAGACGTGGGAGTCCTGAATGTCGACCTCCATGGGCTCCTCTTTAATCTTCACCATCTGAGTCTCCTTGTAGCTCTCCGCTGCGAGCAGGTCAAGGCAGAGAAACAAAACACAGGCTTCTTAATTCGGAAGTGAACCCACCTTCCAACCACTGAGACAATGGGGAGACTCGTGGCAAGGAGCAGGTGAGAAGAGGCTCTGACCCATCTGGTTTCCAGAAGAGCTAGGAAGCTGATGCCCAGAGAAAGTGACTTGCCCAAAGTCACACCAACGATGGCAGAGCCAGGCAGGCTTCTGGCCCCGGGTCTCCCAACCACGCAACTCACCTTTCCTCTTTACCATGTTGCTTCCGGAACGTACAGAGAACATAATGACTGTCTGTCCTTGTGTTATAACTTACTCAATTGCAGTGAGTCAAATCAGAGCAAGCACATTAATATTATGATTTCCTCCCTCTAATTTCAAAGCTCCAGTCAAATTTTCGTTTCCCTTGTAGGACACCTAAGTTAATAAAGGGTAAATAGGGTAGATGGGCCATTTACACCTTGCTGGGAGTTGGTAATTCTCTAGGCCACCTAGGAAGTTAATTGCAGGCTAAGGATTAACACTTAGAAAAAGCGCAATCTCACAGGTTATAATAAGGGTTCAATTCACCGACTATTCTTGCTGTACCAACAGCTCTGAGATGTTTGGTCTTTATCCTGAAATATATGTCTTCTTTGCCACGCTGGAGTGTTTTTATATGCAGCTGTTTGTCAAAGCTGATGATAGAGCACTGCTGAAATGAGGTGTGGCGATTAGGCCTGCATTCATTTGGGTCAATTTAAAATAAAGCCACACTTTCAAATCAATAAGCATTTATTATTTGTAACTACTATGTATTCAGCACCCTCGAAAGCGAAAAACAAAGGGGACAGGTGGATGGATAGATAGTTGTATGGGTAGATAAATAGAAAGACAGCTAGTTAAAGAAAATATAACAGCGTATTGAATGGTGGGTCCCCAAAAGACAGGTCTGTGTCCTAACACCAGGAACACATAAATGGGACCGTAGTAGGAAAAAAGTCATTTGTAGATATGATAAATTTAAGGTTCTCAAGATGAACTAATCCTGGATTATCCAGGTAGTTCCTAAATCCAGTGACAAGTATCCTTATCAAATCAGAAGAGGACAAGACATAGCCGCAGCAGCCAGGTCATGTGAAGACAGAGAAAATACTACAGCCTGAATGCTTGCACTCCTCCCTCCCCCAAATCAGTATGCCAAAACCTGGTCCCCAATGGGAAGGTATTAGGACATGGAACCCGTGGGAGGTGATGAGGCTGTGAGGGTGGGACCCTCATGACTGGGATCAGTGCCCTTATAGAAAGACCCAGACAGCATCCTCACTGCTTCATGAGAGGTGGGCACAGAAAGTAGAAACAGGAGACAGGCCTTACCAGACACCTAAGATGTCAGCCTCTTGATCTCGGACATCCCAGGCCAGGATTGTGAGAAATAAATATATGTTGTTTACAAGTCACCCTGTTTGTGGCATTCTGGTGTAATAGCTCGAACTGACCTGAGAAGGGCTGGTGTTGGACACCCGTAAGCCAAGGATGGCCTGGGGCCACCCAAAACTGGAAGATGTGAGGAAAGATTCTCCCCTCGACCCTTCAGATTTCAGACTTCTGGCTCCCAGACCATGAGAGAATATGTTTCTGTTGTTTTGCGAGTTACCAAGATTATAGCAGTTTTACTAGGAGCATTGATGGACAGTCAGATGGAAGGACAGACGAATGGCAGACAGACGAGGTTGCAATCTGGACCCTGATAGTGCTTTGTTGAGGGAAGCCGTGGTGAGCATCACAGGACATTTAGCAACAGCTCCGGTCTTGCCTCTAGATACCGGAGGGAGGGCTCACTGCTCTAAGCCGTAAGCCGTAAGCCAGGTAATCCTAGAAATCTGTACTTTTCCTGGCAAAGTACGAAGCAGGTAAAAGTCAATTACTGATTTGCAGTGAAGAAGATAGTGAGCATTTTTAATTAAATTATTAAAATTAATAAGGTGCTAACGCTAAGTTCTCGTGTAAGAACTACACTCATTCTTCTTCTTCCTTCCTGACATATCACACATGCATCTCAGGAAAATGACTTGCGTTTTGTCAGCAACTATACCGCAGACAACTGTTGTATTTAATTGCGATCCCTTCCCCCACCTCCTCGTCCCTTCATCCTGCCAAACTGTTTTTATTTTCCCCCTCTACATGTCCGTGAAGCTCATAAACCAAATTCATTGATTCAATTATGCTAAACAGGAAGAAGAGAAGAGTGAGCTTTCCAAGTTCGGGGCTTCGCTTCTCTGCCTTCGCTTCCCGCCCATCTGATTCTTTCTGGACTACTGACACCCACCCCTGCCACGTAGGGGACCTGACTGTGGTCCTGGTCTCTAGCTAGATCACTTTAAGGTGCAGTCACACATGATGTCCTCCCTGGGGCCCCTCAAGAGATTTAGTGTTTGGGGTGTTAAGGGTGTGGCCAGGAACACAGGAGCATAAGGAGGTGCCTGAGTCCTGGGGACCGTACCAAGGCCTGGAGGACTCCATGGGGGTTCTAATGAAAATGTCCACACTATCAAGAAAGAACACAGCTACCATGCAGCTCCGCAGCCCTGGTTATTTCTCTCCCCAGCTCTAACTCTCGTTTAAAAACCACCTATTTGCACCATTACATTTAATGAAATTAGCTTTAAAAGCCACTTGGGATAATTTCAAGTATGATTTGCATGAAGTGCTTTCTGCTCTTTCTTAGGACAACTCTTGACCTTTCAAAAATGTACCCAACACCGGCCACTGCTAACGCCTGGACACACTTCACCCGCCCGAGAGCGTCCAGCTTCCCGAGAGCGTCCAGGCTCAAGGAGGGCTTCACGCTGACGTCTTAATGGGCGAGACTAAGACACTCCGTTTTGACAGTCCTTGTCCTTCTCCCCAAGAGCACTGGTGACAAGTGTCTCCTTTAAGGTTTTCCCAGTCTCAGCACCATGGACCCCGGGCCTCTGTGGGAGAGGCTGCGAGTGCATTGTAGAGCACGCAACGACATCTCGCTCCACCGACACTCTGTGACTCCATCCCCCCGGTTGTGACAACCACGCTTAGCTCCAGACATGGCCAGTGTCCCCTGGGAGCCAAAATCTTCCCAACTGGAAACCACAGCAGTCAAGATTTCGCCGCACTCCTGTTATCACTCCCCAAAAAGCTCCCCTTAGTTCTTGCCTGGGCGACTCCTGCGTGTTCGCCCTCTCCGCCAGGTGCCCAGACAGGCTGGTGAGCGGGAGGCAGACAGACTAAGGAGCAGTTCCGGCCCCAGAGATCCCTCTCAGTCTGGGCCGGCTCCTGCTCTTGGCTCGGGGCGTCCTAAGGAAACAATGGCTGAATTAATCATTTCTCTCTGAGCTTTGAGCCCATAGCCAGGGACAAGTCTACACAGCCCTGTGCAGGATTTTCCTCATTCCCATCATTTCCCCCTCCACACACCTTGTGAATCCTTTCAGAATCTCTTCCTAGATAAAATACTAGGGTGTGTTAGGTTCACCCCAGGGGGTGCATTTCAGCTATAAAGGGAGACACTGGTGAGGGAAGGGGGGGGCGCGCGGGGCTGAGGCTGCCAGGAGAGGCCAGAGGGTGACAGATGGCTGCCATGCTCACCTGTATTGTGGAACTTTTCTATGATAAATGTGGCAGCTCATCAATTGTCTACATTTTAAAAAAGGGAACCAACGATACACACACACACACACACACACACACACATTAAAGCGATTTCCTTTTGGAAATGTTTAGATCTGGGTGTGGCTCCAGAGCCACTCGGGACAGGAGTAAACCCTGCTCAAACCCTGCCTGGCAACAGAGAGGGACGAGGCCAAGAGAACGCAACACTACGGCCCTTTCTACCTTCAAAACCGCAGCGCGCATCAGCTGGCAAGCTGAGCTATGTCACTCGGTCCTCCCATTTAAGTTTTTTAATATCTGTGATGCACTGAACACTACCACAGATGGTTCTGGGAAGACAGGTAAATAAGAAAAGGTTCTTGCCCTCAAGCAGCTTACATCTAGATGAGTGATCAGACGCGTATAAACGGGCCTCTAAGACAAGCAATAAAGAGAAAGTACAGGTGGAGAGAAGCCCCAGAGAGGGTGTGGGGAGCACAGAGGCGTCCTCGTTCCGCTTGCTGCTGGGCGGGCCCTCAGCAGCGGGACTCAGACTCTGGGGGCTCGCACATCCGGGCAAGTCTATTTGAGTTCCACTGTCCCCTGAAACCGGCCCGGTGGGAAGAGCACTTCCCATGTCCCGATGGAAACTCAGCAGGCCAGTAACTTGAGCGGGTTCCGAGAACACGGAGCTTTAGAACGCCTGGAAACAGCCACCCGGTTTTGCGCCAGAAGCCGGAAGCCAGCCAAGCTTCCTTTGATAAGGGGTCCTTCTCCCTATGGAAGAGTTAACTGGGTGCCGGGCACAGGCAGGGAACTGGCACGTTCTCTGTCCCTGGCCTTCGCCCCGACACACGAGCTGCCCTTCCAGGACCTTGCGGAGGCTGGGAGATGGGCCACCGACAGGAGGTCGGTCCTGGCTGAGGGTGGCTCATTGCTCTAGGTCAGCAGCTGGCTCTCGCATTGGCATTAGGCTCTTCAGGACCTTTAGCTTTGAGGTGACCTTTCGCTACAGTATGTCACCAGGCCGGACCCCCTCCAACAGAGGCAGTGCCTGAGGACGCCACCTGCCTCCCTCTCCTGCTGGCTCGGGCTCCATCAGTCCTTGGGGGCTGAGGACACACCAGGCCAGACCTCCACATCGGGGTCACCAGGGACAGTGGCCCTTTCTCCAGCCAGGCAGAGGGCCCGTGCAACACAGAGTGGTCTCCACGCCACCACCAAGCAGCTGTCACTCCTCGCCCTGCAAATCCCCCACGTCAGACCCTCACCAGGCCCTGGCTGCGGAAGCACATGACAGACTCCCCAGTTGAGTTCCCTTTAAATCACGTTCTTGAAATGGGGGTGCCCTTTGCCCTCTGCTCTACCACAGTAGGGGGAAATCAAATGC